AGACTGAAGTCCAGAAAGTTGCTGTGACATATGTACATTTCCCTGGGTAGCAGGCAGCATCAGGGAAATGGAGCCCCCGCTTCAGATAAGGAACCTCTTGCCTGGGGCGTCATGCTGCTCTCCCGTAAAGATGCAAAGGGCCTCCAGCCTGCCAGCATGGCCTTCCGGTGGCTGGAAACCACCATATGTGTTGAATGTCACCCACATACCTGCCTCTGAGAGCAGCCTTGAAATTGTGGTGACTGTCCTATTATTCTGAGGTCCCATTGTTCCTGCCCTAATGAGGTGCCCCAGTAAAGCAAAAGACTTTGGAAAAGTTGCGTGTGTGTGTGTCCATAGGTGGGAAGCACACACATCCCAGAGGGCAAAGCTCGCTGTTTTCTTGTGCAGGATCAAGTGTGCTTTGTGGGCTGTCCTTGGCAGTGAAAATGGGCCATGTAAATTATACATTGAAATAATAGAGGCTGCTGCAATCTGCCAGAAGGTCTACAAAGTTGGAGATGATGATGAACTTGTCGGTGAACTGTGGGCTGTGCCAAGGGCACCCGGAGAATTCAAGATAGCAGGGACATTGAGGCCAAGCGTTCAACCTCTAGGTTTCCAGTCAGTAAGGACACGTGCTTTCACCTGTGTTTAAGCTTGCTGGCATTTGACAAAGGACTAACATGCTCGGGGGTTGAGGTCTTGGGTACGAAAAGAAGAATGAAATGGGGTCCAGTTAATGAGCGACAGTGTTCGCTCTGGTGAATCTGAGAATGTCCAGGGTGGAGGGGTGCAGCTGAGAGTCTGAACATCCCTCTCCTTTGCTGACAACTAGGGAAGTAGAGGCCCATAGACGGTGATATCTGACTGAGGCCATGTATTTATTATGGGCAGTGTCGGGGCCAGGGTATGGGCTTCTGAATTATGGTCTCAAGTTCATCACCTGGCTTCACCTCTGAGCCTTCTCCTGGACCAGCTCTTGTCTGACTTTTCTTAAGCAGGTCAGGGGGCTCTGGATTTGAAACAGATGGCAGAAGGGCAGCACACTGGAGGGTCTTGGAGAGAAAGGCTCATTCAGGGGGTGCACATGGAAAGACAGCAGAAAAGACACATTCCTACAGGTTGTCACCCTGTGCAGGGCTCTTTCCTTGGGCCACTATTCGATTTGACCCAAGGAAAGAGCATTGCAATCTGCATGTCAATCTGCCTTGCACTATTTGTCTCCACCTCTCAATAAATGCTTGTCAATCAAATGAGGAGGATGAGCTGCGTTCACAGGTCATTCTCTCCCTGGGTTCTCATTTTCTCTGTCGACAAAACTGATTTGATGCCTGTCTCCACAAGTCAGGTCCTGTGCCAGGCATTGGCTATCTTTAAATTGGAATATTCATTTTCTTATTGTTGAACTTTTTAAATATAAATCTTTTGTCAGATGCACGATTTTCTTTTCTTTCTTTTCTTTTCTTTTCTTTTTTTTTTTAGATGGAGTCCCCCTCTGTTGCCCAGGCTGGAGCGCAATGATGTGATCTTGGCTCACTGCAACCTCTGCCTCCCAAGTTGAAGTGATTCTCCTGGCTCAGCCTCCTGAGTAGCTGCGACTATAGGCATGCACCACCATGCCCAGCTAATTTTTGTATTTTTAGTAGAGACGGGGTTTTACCATGTTGGCCAGGCTGGTCTCAAACCCCTGACCTCAGGTGATCCACCCTCCTTGGCCTCCCAAAGTGCTGGGGTTATAGGCGTGAGCCACTGTGCCCGGCCAGATGCATGTATTTCAAATATTTCAGATATTTCTTCCCAGTCTAAAGCTGGCCCAACATCCTCGCTCAGGCTGCAGTGGCATGATAATAACTCACTGCTGCCTGAAACTCCTGGGCTCAAGGAATCCTCCTGCTTCAGTCTCCCAAGAAGTTGGGACTACAGGTGCGCACCAACATACCTGGATGATTTTTATTATTTTTTATTTGTAGAGACAGGGTCTGACTATGTTGCCCAGGTTGGTCTTAAACTCCTGGCCTCAAGCTTTCCTTTTGCCTAGGCCTCCCAAAGTGGTGGGATTACGGATGTGAGCCACCGTGCCTGGCCCTTAACATTCTCTTAACAGTGTCTTTCATGAGCAAAAGTTCTTAATTTTGGTAAAATCCAATTTATCAATTTTTAATTTTATGGATAGTGCTTTTGGTGCCATGTCTGAGAACTTATTGCTAAATTCAAGGTCATGTAGATGTTCTCTGGCCTTTTCTTCTAACTGTTATATAATTGTACATGATAAATTTAGATAGACTTTGTGTTTTGTGTAAGGAATGAGGTTTAGCTTCCCTTTTCTGCCTATGAATGTTCGATTGTATAGTAAGTCCTCAATACTGTTGATAGGTTCTTGGAAACTGCGGCTTTAAGTGAAATGGCAAAACAACGTATAATGAAACCAATTTTACCATAAGCTAATTGATATGAAGAATTAAATTCCTATGGCATACATCTCATCATAAAAACATCATCAAGCTTCTAAATAAAGACCAAAACACTTCTAACATTAAACATGGAAGTAAATGTGAGTTACGTGTACCTTTAAGAACGATTAATAAAAATAAGCACAATTATTTTAATGCAGGGTGGTGGTTGGCTGGAGCCTATCCCAGCTACTCAGGGTGCTAAGGACACCTTGACAGCATGCCATTCTGTTGTGGGGTGCACTCACACACAGACACACACAGACACACACACACACACACTCACACACTGGCATGGGGACAATATAGACACACCAATTCACCTAATGTGCACATCTTTGGGATGTGGGAGGAAATGAGTACCTGGAGAAAACCCAAGCAGACATGAGGAGAATGTGCAAACTCTACAGTGGCCCCAGCTGGAAGTCCAGTTTTTTTTCTATCAATGTTATAACAAAGCAATGTTAAAGGAAACAACGTTATTTGAGGATCTGCTGCATGTACACAACTGGGTGTAAAGACTATGTTTCTTCCATTTAATTGCTTTTGCAACTTTGTAAAAAACTAATAAGCCTTATCTGTGTGGGTCTATTTCTGTATCTGCATTCTTTTCCATAGATCTGTGTGTCTATCCCTTTGCTGATCCCATACTGACTTCATTACTATAGCTTTACAGTAAGTCATAAAATTACCCTGTGTGGTTCCTACAACTTTATTTCTTTTTCAAAATGTTATTAGCTCTTCTCATTCCTTTGTTCTTCCATACATACTTTATAAATAGTTTGTCTATATCTCAAAAAGAATCCTGCTAGGACTTTGATTGGTACTATATTAAATCTATGGATTAATTTAGAGAAAATTGGAGCCTTTACTATGTTGAGTCTTCTAATCTATGAAAATGGTATGTCCCTGTATTTACTTAAATCTTTGATTTCTTTAATCAGCATTTTGTGGTTTTCAGCTTAGAGATCTGTTACTTTTTTTTTCTTTAGATTTATACCTAAGTATTTCAGTTTTTGAAGCTATTGTGAATAGTATTATTTTAAATTTTTGTTTCCATCTGTATATTGCTAGTGTATAGAAATACAATGGATTTTTATGTATTGACCTTGCATGCTATGACCTTGTAAAACTTATTTATTAGTTTGGGGAAAGTTGGTTGGTTTTCTGGGTTTTTTTGTGACTTTCTACATATATAAAAATACTTCATATTTTTCACATGTAATATTTGCCTCATAGCTATCTCTCTCAGGGGACCCTAAATAACAGTAGCTTAAAAAACACAGTAGATTATTCTTACTTGGCCCTTCTCTGTGCCATTTTGGGGGCACATATACCTTCTACCCCCAGCATATTGCCTCCACCTGCAGGTTTGAGTTGGCTCTGCACTTATAACTGCATTCCAGTGGGGACAGGAAGAAGAGGGTAGGCCCTGGAAATTCTGCTCCCATCAAACTGCAAAGGATGCTGGGAAATTTGGTCTTTATTATGGACACCCATTGTCTGTCTCTAGCCTCCTCCTTAAAATAGGAAGGGGCAACAATTATCAGTCTGCACTGCAACAATGAAGTTAAAGAAATGTCGCATTTGTTTATTTTTAAAATCAAATTAGATATGGCTTGGAGCTGCCATTGTCAAGGTTTGGGACTGGCTGTCAGTCATCATAGGACTTTCTCCAACACACCCCACTCTGTCCAGAACAACATGGGGACCAACTGGTCCCATGCACTCTGTTGCTCAGTGCCACTAACAAGGGCGGATCCTTCATTCTCTGAGGAGCACTGTGGCTCTGAGGAGGGACAGAAGGTGCCCCTCCCTGAAGTCTCAGCCACAGGGGCATATGCTTCTTCTGTGAAGGCTCTTGCCTTCATAGTATGGCCTCCACAGCATCTTACCAGCTACCTCTCATCCAGGGCCCAGGGCTTTAGGGCACTGCATGGCAATAAGGCTAATTTTTCACTCTTGAAGAACACTCCAAATCTTGGGAAAATTCACACTTAATAATAATCTTAAAAATACATATTTATGGCCAGGCACGGTGGCTCATGCCTGTAATCCCAGCACTTTGGGAGGCTGAGGTGGGCAGATCACGAGGTCAGGAGTTTGAGACCAGCCTGACCAACATGGTGAAACCCCATCTCTACCAAAAATACAAAAATTAGCTGGGCATGGTGGCAGGCACCTATAATCCCAGCTACTCAGAAGGCTGAGGCAGGAGACTCACTTGAACCTGGGAGGCGAAGGTTGCAGTGAGCCAAGACTATGCCACTGCACTCCAGCCTGGGTGACAGAGCGAGGCTCTGTCTCAAAAAAAAAAAAAAAAAAAAAAAAAAAAAAGTGTGTGTGTGTATGTGTATATATATATATATATATATATATATATATATATATATATATATGTATATTTAAAATAGTCTTGTAAAAAATACATCCAGAGGAGCCTCAAGGAACCTGAACAACCTATGACATTTGACAAAAAAAAGCCCGAAACATGGTTAGGTTTAATATTTAGAAAGTAGGTGTCTCAATTAGGGTCTTGGCAAGAAACAGATGGCAGAGTCAATCTGGGACAGTTCAGGAGAATTTAATGAAGAGAACATCTACACAGTCGAGGACAGGTGTGGGGGAACCACAAAGGCAGTGAATACTTTGGGGCTGGCAACATCAGGGAGCCTGGGGGAGGGAGGGGGTGGAGCTGGTCACATCAGGATTTGGAGAGTGAGAGAGCTGTGAGGAGGGAGCTTCAGGCCCTCAGCAGCCCACAGAGAAGACACTGGAAAAACACAGTACACTGACAACATGCTCCTCCCTCCTCCCGTCCATCCGCTCTCAGCGTTCCTCCTTTCTCCTTAGCTGAAGCCAACAGGAAGTTAGAGGCCAGGGGGCCTCCTGATGCAGTTCCTGGAGGTCAACCCCTGTGGACAGAGATGGCACAGAGTGGAGTGGGAGGGACCTGTGGTGGCATCCAACACAGTGGGCAAGGGAGGACAAGGATAGAGGATAATAATGGCCAACATGTCCACAGGACTGGCTCTGTGCCAGGAATTATTCTAAGGCCTTTTCATAGGATAACTCATCTAATTCTCTCAGGGCCACAAGCAAAGGACACATAGAGTGAGGTGGATTCGGAAGCATTCCAGGGAACCTTTTTTTATGAGCTAGGGTCTCACTGTTACCCAGGCTAAAGTCCAGTGGTGCAATCACAGCTCACTACAGCCTCAAGCTTCTGGGCTCAAGTGATCCTCTCACCTCAGTCTCCTGAGTCACTGGGACTACAGGTGCATACCACCATGCCTGGCTAATCTTTTCTATTTTTTTGTTTTTAAAGACAGGGTCTCACTATGTTGCCCAGGCTGGTCTTGAACTCCTGGGCTCAAGTGATCCTCCTGCCTCAGACTCCCCAGGTGCTGGCATCACAGGGGCAATGCGTCATGCCTGGCCTAGAGAACTTCTGATTGAAAAGATGAGGAAGGGCTTCCCGAGGGGAGATGGTTTTGAACTGGGCCCCATGGAGGAAGTGGCTTGAAGAGGAAACACTTACTTGAAAGGCCCAGCAAACAATATCCCTGGATTAAAGTGACCATTCGTCTCATGAACCAACAATGGCGAGTAGGTAGCATTTTGCGTGTGCTAGAATGGAGCAACTGTGCAAAGTAGGTAGGAGGGGTTTGCATGTTCAGACAGGATTGGGGTAAGAAGGAAGTCAGTGCCATTCTGCAACTGCTGCAGCCAGCCGGCTGTCTGTAATTATGACCTTAGAGAAGGCCAGGCCAGCAGAAGAGGACTTATTGCTCATTAGCACCAAGGGTGGCTCCCTGCGTGCCACTGCATTTATGCCCATTACCTCTAGTAATCATCGTAATTTTGCAAGGTAGGCATTATTGTCTCTTTTTTACAGATGAGGAAACTGAGGCCCAGAGAGATTAAGTAACTTGTCCAAGGTCACACAGCTAATAGTTGGCAAAGCTGGGACTCAATTCCAAATGCAGTGAGCTTTCTATTATACTATATTCCCCTCCACATTTAAAAAGGAGACATAAAACACAGAAAAGTGTAGAAGACTGGAACAGACCGTGTGCAGAAAGATGGGTGATATGGTTTGGCTATCTCCACCCAAATCTCATCTTGAGTTGTAATCCCACAATCCCCAAGTGTTGACGGAGGGACCTGGTGGGAGGTGATTGGATCATGGGGGTGGTTTCCTCCATGCTGTTCTCATGATAGCAAGTGAGTTCTCATGAGATCTGATGGTTTTTTTTTTTTTTAAATTATACTTTAAGTTCTGGGATACGTGTGCAGAACGTGCAGGTTTGTTACATAGGTATACATGTGCCATGGTGGTTTGTTGTACCCATCACCCTGTCACCTACATTGGGTATTTCTCCTAATGCTATCCCTCCCTTAGCCCCTCACCCCCCAACAGGCTCCAGTGTGTGATGTTCCCCTCCCTGTGTCCATGTGTTCTCATTGTTCAACTCCAACTTATGAGTGAGAACATGTGGTGTTTGGTTTCCTGTTCCTGTATTACTTTGCTGAGAACGATGGTTTCCAGCTTCATCCATGTGTCTGCAAAGGACATGAACTTTTCCTTTTTATGGCTGCATAGTATCCCATGGTGTATATGTGCCACATTTTCTTTAGCCAGTCTATCATTGATGGGCATTTGGGTTGGTTCCAAGTCTTTGCTATGGTGATTAGTGCTGCAGTAAACATATGCGTGCATATGTCTTTATAGTAGAATGATTTATAATCCTTTGGGTATATGTCCAGTAATGGGATTGCTGGGTCAAATGGTATTTCTAGTTCTAGATCCTTGGGGAATCACCACACTGTCTTCCATAATGGTTGAACTAATTTATACTCCCATCAACAGTGTAAAAGCATTCCTATTTCACCACATCCTCTCCAGCCTTTGTTGTTTCCTGTCTTTTTAATGATCACCATTCTAACTGGTGTGAGATGGTATCTCATTGTGGTTTTGATTTGCATTTCTCTAATGACCAGTGATGATGAGCTTTTCTTCATATGTTTGTTTCCCGCATAAATGTCTTCTTTTGAGAAGTGTCTGTTCATATCCTTTGCCCACTTTTTGATGGGGTTGTTTTTCTCTTATAAATTTGTTTCAGTTCCTTGTAGATTCTTGATATTAGCCTTTTGTCAGATGGATAGATTGCAAACATTTTCTCCCATTCTGTAGGTTGCCCTGTTCACTCTGATGATAGTTTCTTTTGCTGTGCAGAAACTCTTTAGTTTAATTAGATCCCATTTGTCAATTTTGGCTTTTGTGACCACTGCTTTTGGTGTTTTAGTCATGAAGTCTTTGCCCACGCCTATGTCCTGAATGGTATTGCCTAGGTTTTCTTCTAGGGTTTTTATGGTTTTAGGTCTTACATTTAATCTTTAATCCATCTTGAGTTAATATTTGTATAAGGTGTAAGGAAGGGGTCCAGTTTCAGTTTTCTGCATATGGCTAGTCAGTTTTCCCGACACCATTTATTAAATAGGGAATCCTTTCCCCATTGGTTTTGTCAGGTTTGTCAAAAATCAGATGGTTGTAGATGTGTGACATTATTTCTGAGGACTCTGTTCTGTTCCATTGGTCTATATATCTGTTTTGGTACCAGTACCACACTGATTTCGTTACTGTAGCCTTGTAGTATAGTTTGAATTCAGGTAGATTGATGACTCCAGCTTTGTTCTTTTTGCTTAGGATTGTCTTGGCTATACGGGCTCTTTTTTTGGTTCCATATTAAATTTCAAGTAGTTTTTTTTTTTCTAATTCTGTGAAGAGAGTCAATGGTAGCTTGATGGGGATAACACTGAATCTATAAATTACTTTTGTCAGTATGGCGATTTTCACAATACTGATTCTTCCTTTCTATGAGCGTGGAATGTTTTTCCATTTGTTTGTGTCCTCTCTTATTTCCTTGAGCAGTGGTTTGTAGTTCTCCTTGAAGAGGTCTTTCACATTCCTTCTAAGTTGTGTTCCTGGGTATTTAATTCTGTTTGTAGCAATTGTGAATGGGAGTTCACTCATGATTTGGCTCTCTGTTTGTCTGTTACTGATGTATAAGAATGCTTGTGATTTTTGCACATTGATTTTGTATCCTGAGACTTTGCTGAAGTTGCTTATCAGCTTAAGGAGATTTGGGGCTGAGACGATGGGATTTTCTAAATATACAATCATGTCACCTGCAAACAGAGACAACTTGACTTCCTCTCTTCCTATTTGAATACCTTTATTTCTTTCTCTTGCCTGATTGCCCTGGCCAGAATTTCCAGTACTGTGTTGAATAGGAGTGGTGAGAGAGGGCATCCTTGTCTTGTGCTGGTTTTCAAAGGGAATGCTTCCAGCTTTTGTCCATTCAGTATTATATTGACTGTGGGTTTGTCATGAATAGCTCTTTATATTTTGAGATATGTTCCATCAATACCTAGTTTATTGAGTTTTTAGCATAAAGGGGTGTTGGATTTTATCGAAGGCCTTTTCTGCATCTATTGAGATAATCATGTGATTTTGTTATTGGTTCCGTTTATGTGATGGATTATGTTTATTGCTTTGCGTATGTTGAACCAGCCTTGCATACCAGGGATGAAGGGGACTTGATTGTGGTGGATAAGCTTTTTGATGTGCTGCTGGATTAGGTTTGCCTGTATTTTATTGAAGATTTTCACATTGATGTTCATCAGAGATATCAGCCTGAAATTTTAATTTTTTGTTGTGTCTCTGCCAGGTTTTGGTATCAGGATGATGCTGGCCTCATAAAGTGAGTTAGGGAGGAGTCCCTCTTTTGCTATTGTTTGGAATAGTTTCAGAAGGAATGGTATCAGCTCCTATTTGTACCTCTGGTAGAATTTGGCTGTGACTCTGTCTGGTCCTGGGTTTTTTTTTTTTGGTTGGTAGGCTATTAATTACTGTCTCAATTTCAGAACTTGTTATTGGTCTTTTCAGGGATTCAACTTCTTCCTGGTTTAGTCTTGGGAGAGTGTACGTGTCCAGGAATTTATCCATTTCTTCTAGATTTCTAGTTTATTTGTGTAGAGTGTTTATAGTATTCTCTGATGACAGTTTGTATTTCTGTGGGATCAATGGTTATATCCCCTTTATCATTTTTTATTGTGTCTATTTGATTCTTCTCTCTTTTCTTTTTTGTTAGTCTGGCTAGCGGTCTATCCGTTTTGTTAATCTTTTCAAAAAACTAGCTCCCAGATTAATTGATTTTTTTGAAGGGTTTTTCCTGTGGGCATTTAGTGCTATAAATTTATCTCTAAACATTGCTTTAGCTGTGTCCCAGAGATTCTGGTACATTGTGTCTTTATTCTCATTGGTTTCAAATAACTTATTTATTTCTGCCTTAATTTTGATATGTACCCAGCAGTCATTCAGGAGCAGGTTGTTCAGTTTCCATGTAGTTGTGTGGTTTCGAGTGAGTTTCCTAATCCTGAGTTCTAATTTGATTACACTGTGGTCTGAGAGACTGTTTGTTACAATTTCCATTCTTTTGCATTTGCTAAGGAGTGTTTTACTTCCAATGATGTGGTCAATTTTAGAATAAGTGTGATGTGGTGCTGAGAAGAATGTATATTCTGTTGATTTGGGGTAAAGAGTTCTGTAGATGTCTATTAGGTCCACTTGGTCCAGAGTTGAGTTCAAGTCCTGAATACCCTTGTTAATTTTCTGTCTCATTGATCTGTCTAATATTGACAGTGGGGGTGTTGAAGTCTCCCACTATTATTGTGTGGGAGCCTAAGTCTCTTTGTAGGTCTCTAAGAACTTGCTTTATGAATCTGGGTGCTCCTGTTTTGGGTGCATATATATGTGGGATAGTTAGCTCTTCTTGTTGCATTGATCCCTTTACCATCATGTAATGCCCTTCTTTGTCTTTTTTGATCTTTGTTGGTTTAAAGTCTGTTT